CACGCCCTTGTTAAAGTGCGGCACCCAGAACTGGACGCAGTACTCCAGTTGGGGTCTCACCAGTGCTGAGTAGAGCAGAAGAATCACATCCTTGGTCTTGCTGGACATGCATCGATTGATGTATGCCAGAGTATTCTTTTCTCTGCTGGCAACAGAATTTCATTGCCAGCTTATATTCATGCTGTGGTCTATTATTACCCCCAGGTCTCTTTCATTTATAGCGCTGATCAGGTTGGCGTTGCCAAGCCTGTAGGTGTGCAGGGCCCCCAAGTGGAGCGCTTTACATTTCTCGATGTTGAACTTCATCTGGTTGTGACTCTCCCAACTTGCTAGCTTCATCTGGTTCTGACTCGCCCAACCTCTCTAGATCTGCTTGTATCTGTAGCTTATCTTCAAGCATGACCACTCCTCCCCATAACTTGGTGTCATCTGCAAACTTGGCCAGTGAGCTCTTCACCCCCTCATCCAAATCATTGATGAAGATTTTGAAAAGTACAGGACCAAGCATCGACCCCTGCAGGACACCGCTGCCCACTTCTCACCAAGACGACACAGATCCGTTCATTAGGACTCTCTGGGTCAGGGCTACCCCTAGGGGGTTAGAATTGAGGCAACTGACCCGGGTCCCCGCACTATAGAGGGCCCCGTGGAGCTCAGTGGAGCAGCCATGGCAACTCCACGCCACAGCCACTGGCTTCGCATCCAGCCACTCACTTACCACCATCCCCCCCGCCACCAATGCCAAAGGTGGGGGCAGCTTCTTTGGGTCTGGAGTGTGTGGGATCAGAGCGGGGGTGGGGCCCCACATGGGCAGATTTACCCTGGGCCCTGCACCCTGATCGGGTCTGCTCTAATCTGGGTCCTATCCCGCAGCCAGCTTCATACCCACCTGTCTTGTAGTTAAGCCCATAAGTCCTCCAATTTTCTAGGGAGAACATCGTGGGATACCAGATCAAAGGCTTTTTGGAAGTCAAGGTATACAACATCCACCACTTCTCCCTTATCCAGGTGATGAGTCACCTGATCATAAAAGGAGATGAGGTTGGTTAGACAAGACCTGCCCACAATGCTGGCTGTCATTCAGAATCCTACCTTCTGCAAGCCTATCACCCATAGACTCCATAATGAATTTTTCCAGGATTTTCCCTGGGATAGAAGTTAGGCTAATTGTCCTATAGTTACGCAGGTCCACCCTCCTCCCCTTCTTGAAGATGGGCACAACATTGGCCCTCTTCCAGTCCTCAGGAACCACTCCAGAGTGCCATGAGTTTTGGCACAGTTTTGCCAGGGGCTCCACGATGACATCAGCTAGCTCCTTCAGCACCCTCGGTTAGAGTTCATCCAGTCCTGCTGACTTATATATGTCTAGTTTTTTTAACTGATCACACACCAGTTCTATGGTGACAGTAGGGAGGCAGTCATTTCTGCCCTGCTCCTTCTGTACCCTATCTTGCATGATTTTCCCTGTGGGCTGGTGAAACACCGAGGCAAAGTAGTCATTCAGGAGTTCAATTTTCTCCTGAATGTTGGTAACCAGCTGTCCTGAGTTGTTGAGCAGTGGCCCAACACTTCCATTTGCTTTCCTCTTGTTCCCTACCAACCTAAAGAAGGACTTTTTGTTGTCTTTGATTCCCATTGCTAATCTAAGTTCAGTTGTCACCTTAGCCTTTCTAATTTGTTCCCTACAAGTGCAGGTCACCATAGGCCTCTCATCAGGCAGCAGGACTGAAAATCCCCCATCACTTGTCACCAAGACCTGAGGGTAATAATTGACCACAGTATGAACATAAGCCGGCAGTGCAATGCTGTAGCCAGCAGGGCCAACAACACTCTGGCATGCATCAATTGATGTATCTCCAGCAAAACCCTTGCAAAGCAGTGATTCTCTTGCTCTACTCAGCTCTACTCAGGACTGGTGAGACCACAGCTGGAGTACTGCATTCAGTTCTGGGCTCTGCACCTTTACAAAAATGTGATAAAGCTTGAGAGAGTCCAGCAAAGGGCCACTCGTATGATCAGAGGCTTGCACAGCAAGCCATATGAGAAAAGGCTGAGGGACCTGGGACTCTTCAGCCTGAAAAAGGGAAGGCTGAGAGGGGACTTGATAACAGCTTACCGCTACATCAGAAGCATACATCTAGGGCTCAGTGAACAACAGTTCACCAGGGCACCCTTGGGGAAAACTAGGAGTAATGGTCACAAACTCTTGGAAGATCGTTTCAGGCTCATTTCAGGCTCAACATTAGGAAAAACTATTTCACAATTAGAATGTCCAAACTGTTACCATTACTCCTAGTTTTCCCCAAGGGTGCCCTGGTGAACTGTTGTTCACTGAGCCCTAGATGTATGCTTCTGATGTAGCGGTAAGCTGTTATCAAGTCCCCTCTCAGCCTTCCCTTTTTCAGGCTGAAGAGTCCCAGGTCCCTCAGCCTTTTCTCATATGGCTTGCTGTGCAAGCCTCTGATCATACGAGTGGCCCTTTGCTGGACTCTCTCAAGCTTTTGTTTTACCACGTCCTTGTTAAGGTGCAGAGCCCAGAACTGGACACAGTACTCCAGCTGCGGTCTCACCAATACTGAGAAGAGCCGTGTAGAGCAGGAGAATCACTTCTTAGCAAGAATTTTGCTGGCGATGCATCAATTGATGCATGCTAGTGTATTGTTGGCCCTGCTGGCTACAGCATTGCGCTGCCAGCTCATGTTCATATTGTGGTTAATTATTACCCCCAGATCTGTGGTGGCAAGTGATGGGGGATCTTCAGTCCTGCTGCCTGATGAGAGGCAGCAGTTGCACAAGAACCCATGTCATGAATTTTTCCTGTCAGCAGCTAGGGGTGCAGGGCCCCAGAACCCCCCTGCACCCAGCTCCTCCACAGCTGGCAGGCTTTGTGGCCGCAGCAGGGCTTAGCAGTCAGGCCTGCAGTAGTTTCCCCTCCCCCGTGCCCCAAGACAGACACAGTTGCACAAGCACCCATGTCATGAGTTTTGCCTGTCAGCAGCCAGAGGTGCAGGGCCCCAGAACCCCTGCACTGATCTCCTTGACAGCTAGTAGGCTTCATTGCCGCAGAAGGGGCCAGCAGGCCTGCAGCTTTCACCCTGCTGCGCCTTAATACACAGTGTCACCCATGTCACGAGTTTTGCTTGTCCACAGCTTGAGATTCAGTTTCCCCCAAGCCCCTCCACATATCTCCTTGAAACTCGGCATGCTTTGTAGCATCACCAGGAGCTACCAGCCCAGGAGTTTTCACCCCACTGTGGTGTAACACATACACGTGATATGAGTTTTGCTTTCAGGATTTTGGGGTGCAGTTTCTCCGAACTCCCTGCACCTATCTCCTTGAAACTTGGCAGGCTTTGTGGCCTCAGCAGGGACTATCATCCCTGTAGTTTTGACAATGCTGTGGCTTAACACGTACACATGACACAAGTTTTTCTCTCAAGACTTAGGGGTGCAGTTTCTCCGCACCCCCTGCACCTATATTCTTGAATCTTGGCATGCTGTATGCCCCCAGAAGGTGCTACCATTTCTGCATGTCTGGCCAGAAATGGCAAAGTTATAGGCTGTTTCAACCTTCCCCGTTATAACCTATGGACGAAATGTTGAAACAGCGAAATGTTTCAACTTGCCTTATTTTGTTTTGAGGCTGTTTCGACCATATCTGTTTCGTCTCAATTTTGCTGTTTCAACCTCGAAACAGGTCAAAACAGTGTTGAAACAAAACTGGTGGCGAAATTTCGCACAGCCCTAAAAAACAATAACTTCTGTCTGTGCCCTTGATTTCATTGCCCATCTTCTCACACCCAAGTAAACAATGCTGTTCCTCAGGAAGGCTCCTAGATGAATATGACACATGTGAGTTATTAGATCTAAACCCTGTCTGATAAAAATATAGATAACTAAGTGTCCTGAGACTGGCCCTTTGGAAACATCTGAAGGGAACTATCATGCAAAGGTCTCCCAGGTCCTGAGGATGGGAGAGAGCAGAGGGCGCTGCATGCCAAGGCTGAGCCATGTTCTGTACTAAATTGTCTTCAGGTAAATCCAGGGTTAGCCCCACAGAAATCACTCCAGGGGCTCTCAATTTATGCTAAGTTAACTGAAAGCAGAATGTTGCCTTTAATCTCTCCATGAACTCCAGGGGCTGAATTCTACCTATTTTACAAGCCAGGCAACTTGGTTAATCCAATGGGGTTTACCACGTCATATTTGGTATCACAAGTTCCTGTTGATAATAAAGGAGGGAGGGGACTGTCACAGACCAGCTGGGCACTGTGAGTGTATCAATTCTATCACAAGCCAACTGGGTGCTGCGAGGGTATCAGCCACTGGGCTGTTCGGTTCAGTTTTGGATTGAGGAGGCATAGTTGGGAGTGAAGCAAAGGCGAATTTATTATAGCTTACACACACAACAGTTAACAGAAAGATAAATGTGATAAGCAGATAATGCAGTATTAAAGAGCTAATAGTAAGTAATAACAATGGATAATCACAGATAGATGGATCAATTCTGTTGCAGGCCAACTGGGCACTGCGAGGGTATCAGCCACTGGGCTGTTCAAAACAACAGATAGACAGATATGGGTTGGCAACTTATCGATAGTCCCTCAATGCCAGGTGCGTTCCAAGTGATTCCAGCGAAGTCAGGTGTCCCTGATTGACACTGTCGGAGGGATTACCTGGGAAGGTCCCTTGATCAGGATCCGATCCTCACTCATACCGGAAGTCCAGAGTCCGGGCTTGGAATAGCAATGACCGTTCTGTTCCCTCCTTCCTACTGGTCACCTGACACACGCTTTTTTATACCTAGTCTTATGCTAATCTGTTGGCTTTAGAGCCACTCACAATCTTGCCCTATAGCTGTTACCCTATGGGATTGAAAGGTGTTAAAAATTATCATAAAAGCTTACTACCTAGACTTGGGTTTATCCAATAAGCAAATCACAATGCAGCACCTTTAGGTTTGAAATTGACATTACTTTGCCTAAACCCAACCCTTTTAGGTTTCTCTGAGTATGTTTTCTTGGGACGTGCTTTCCTGGAATATGTTGGGTATGCCAGGCAGTTGGATCCAGTTTTTATCATCAAGGCTGAACCCTGAGCAAAAACCGTTAGGTCAGCTAAACTTGCAGCTACGGCTTCGCCTTTGGGGCCCAGTCAGTTCCACAATTAATACGAACAGTTAGTTTTATCATTTTGGTTAAACTTATGACAGACAAGTTACATTTGCAGGTTATGAACTTACAAGCTTTATATTAGCTAATATTACCTGTTAGGCAAAATACCAAATGCCTCCAAGAAGCACTTATTTATTGCTTATTAATCCCTCTGGTTCTGGCCGTCACAGGGGACCCATCTTACCCTTCTGGCAATCCAAGATGCACTGGGCTCTCTAGATCCTGCCCTTGGAGTCCTGAGTAAACAAGGAAATACAAGGTTTCGTCATGATTGTTAAATAGAAACCAATTGGAAACATGGCAGTCAGCCACTAGGAGGCTGGCTGATAGCTGTGCTGGTGCAGTCAGAGTTAGGGCATGTACTGCTGTTTGTGATTTAAGGTGTAGCTGTACCAGGGGCTCGGCCTACTTAAAGTGGAGAAGAACACATTTGGAGATGGTTATTTTAAGTAGTGCTTTCTGTGCTGCCCGCAGAGTCTTAGTACATGCAGCCCTGTGCCAAATGTTTCTCATTAAGGCCCCCCAAGGGGTCTAACTTTTCCCATGTGGTTGCTTTTCCCAAACAACTGCAAAGCCAGAGGAGACCCTTATTGTTAACTAGGCATCTGGGGAGGGAAAATGGAATCATGTTTTGTTACCCCTCACGATCCCAGAAGCCAGCCAAGACGAAGGTCTTGGAGGCTCTTCCAGTGAGGAGAAGGAATTTGCAATCGAGTCAAGGACCTCTAATGCAATTCTGCTTGATCACAAGAAACCTCTGCTTTCCTCAGCACAGGAGTAATCAGACAGACAGTGTCCTTATCCACAACTCCACACCTCTTCCAGCCAGTCCCCTGCCCCAAATGCCAACTTAGGCTTATTCCACCAAACAGGGAACGCTGGGCACAGGGTGGGGAAGGGGCCGCTTTTCCCTGCACTCAGCTTTTCCCCAGGCTCCTTCCCTGCCCAGGGTCCTCCCCTGGCCTCCCCCCACCTCCTTACCTGAGGTTCTGGCACCAGAGGAGCCACATGGTCCCATGCCAGAAGCCCCTGTTGGAGTTTCCAGCTGTGGGGGGCAGGGCCAGGTGGGCCCTGCTGTTGCAGGAGCCCACCAGGGCTTCCTCTGGGTCCTACTGCCCCTGGTTCCTGTCATTGTTGATGGGAACCAAGGGGAGATAAATATTAATTTTCTAAATTTTTTAGCGGCCCCGTGGGCCAGTTAGAATAGCCTCATGGGCTGAATCTGGCCCGCAGGCTGTATTTTGCCCACTCCTGCACTACATCCTGCATGACATCTACTCCCCCAGTACCTCTCCACTTTTACCTGCTATACCTCTCTTTCCCCCTACCCCAGCTTGTCTCTCACCCCCTGATGCCTTCATTTCCAATTTTACTAACTGGCTTTCTTGCTTGCATTGCCTGCCAGCCTCTGGCTTCTTTACTATTCCTTCCATTCAGGAAGAGCACACACACCAACTAGATGCCTCCTCAGCCTGACAAAGTGTTTTAAACCCCAAAGCCCATGCCTCGCAGATGGCATCCCAGGCAGCTAAGCTCACCTGGACCCTCACAACTCCACTGCAACCAGCAAGCCTCAGGCCTCTCAAAGATCTTACAGGTCTGGTCTTTCCCCATCCAGGACTGTGCATGCGTGTGGCGGCTGAAGGTTAAAAGGTGCCTCCTACCCACCTTTTACCAGGGAGGTCCTCGGTCTTGGCATTTCCTGAGGCTGCCATGCCACCGGCTGACCCAGCAGACCTCCTGACCCTGGCAGGGTAAAGTTTTAGGTCATGCCCAGGGCCTGGGACCTCCTCCTTCCCCATAATCCCAGCCCATATCTCCAAGTTTGTCCTGGCATAGGAGCTCAGCAGAGACATGTTCTTCCCCTGCTGGCTGGTGATGCAGTGAGTGCCACCTCCAGGTTTGAGAGCCAGGCATTACAATTTTTTTTTTTTTAAAGGAAATAAGTGCATTTACTCCATCTGCAGGTGGAGCTTGGGGAACCCCAGCAGCGGGAAGTTCACTTTGAGGAACACAAACTGCTCCACCAAACCAGGATCCAAAGAGGTGCTATGGGGTGTGTCAACACCCCCAGCAATGCTGAACACCCTCTCACTTGGAACACTGGTCGGTGGACAGGACAAGTGTTCACGGGCAACCATGGCCAGATCTGGCCACATCTGGCTGCAGCTTGCCCAGTAGGCCAAGGGGTCACACAGCAGCAGCTCCATGTCCTCAGTGAGATAGGCAGCCACCAAGGCCTGAGCACTACCTGCCTGATGGTGGGGTCTGGTTTATCTGGACCCCAACACTGAAGCCATGCCCTTCGCCCACATTGGCAGTGGCTGATGTGGAGGTGTCTGGCTGGTGCTGGGAGTGCTGGCATGGGAAAATGGATCCCCCTCTTCCACGTGTCCTCGCCTCTGCCCTTCTGCCTCCCTGACTGTTCACCAGCACCTCTGGCCAGTGATCAAGGGTTTTGGTGCTGCATGTTCTTCCCTTCATCCTCAGGTCGCACATGCCCATCAGCATATGGACTGTACAGGACCACAAGGGATCCAGCTGTTTTTTTTATGCCATCCTACAGCCGCTTCACTAGTGCCTGCACCTCTGGTGAAAGTGGTTTGCCCCAGCCAGGACCATTGATCCCCTGGAACTTCTCCATTTGGTTCTCAAGCTCCTTGACTACAGGGATCACCTGGCTAAGGAGGACATTACCAGCGATAAGGGTCTTGGTGGCCTCAAGGAACAGCTTGAGGACCACCAAGATCTGGGAGATGGTATCCCATACCATTTTGTTAAGGGGGCCACTGATCCCTGAGCAAGGCCATCTCATAGATGGCCTTCTGCTGCTTCACCAGCCTTTCCAGTATCAGGTATGTGGAGTTCCACCGAGTCTCCACAGCCTGCATGACTTTGTGCTGCGGGATGCTTAGCTCTGTCTGTTTGTCCTGCAGCATCTTGTCCCCCTTGATGTTCCAGTGGAAGTAGCTCACCACCTTCCTGCATTTCAAAATGAGCTAGCTGGTAGTAATGGCACTGTCACTGGGAGCCCTGTCCCCCTCCAAGGTGTCCCTGACTACCAAGTGGAACTTGTGTGCCACAGCGGATGCCAGCAAAGTTGGCATCATGTACTGCCTTGATCATATTGGCTCCGCCGAGGTGAAGTGCAAGGCTACCTGCGGCCCTGCCTTGCATGATTCCTCCCTCAAGTACTTCCTGCATGCCTCATACAGGGAGGGCACCACCGTCCTGCTAAAAGTGGTGCATGCGGGTACTTGGTAGGATGAGGCCACAAGTGCCATGAGCTGCCTGAACCCTGGCTGCTGAACTAAGGAGAAAGACTGGCCATCCAGAGCAAGCATCTCCCCAGTGCTCTGGGTGACCTCACTCGTCCTTGCAACGCACCCCACTTTGTCTGCGGCTTTCCCCCACCGGTCCAGGGTGGCCTGCCTCTGCTTCATGGGGATGGGGGCTTTGGAGCAAGAGGGGGACTTCCCTTTGGGCATGCCCCCACTGGTGCCAGGCTGAGGAGAAACAAGGCAAAAGGGGTGCTGCCTCCTGAGATGCAGTAGCATTGTCATGGTGGTGAAGTGCTTCACATCCTTGTCCCAACTGATCTGCCTTCAGCAGTGCTGGCAAATAGCATACTTGGGATCATCTGCCACCTCAAAATAATCCCACATTACACTACCCCCCACTTCTGGGTTGAGGGTGGGGATCCTACCTTATCACGCTCCTCAGCAGGCTGAGGCACAACAACAGGAGGACCTGACTCAGCTGAGCCACTTGCCTCCACATCTTCAACCTCAACCTCCTCCGAGGTGCTCTCCTGAGAAGGAAACCTGGCTCTAGGGGAACTTTGAAGGGTGTGGAGCACTAATTCAGATTCCCTCTTGTTCCCCAGAATTTCTTTTGCTAGGGCACTCAGGTCCCCTGCTTCCAGATCCAGCTTCTCCTCTGGGACTGGGAGGCTCACACTGGGAGATGAAATTGGGATGGAGGAGACTGTCATTCTGGTGCTGGTGGCTGTTTCTGGTGTTAGGGGAGGTGGTGCAGGTGCAGGGACAGGTACTGCTCCCACCTCCTTGCTCCCACTGGCAGCAGAACACTCATAGTTTCCAGGAAAGAGGATGCATCTATGTTTGGGGGGGGGAGGGACATGCAGCTCTCCCCCTACCCCATCTAGCCCCTCTCCCTCCCCTGCCAGAAGACCTGGCACCTGCCTTTCCAGCACGCTTCATATTAATCTTTGCTGTGCTAGAAAATGTGTCTGTGTGTGTGTGCAGCTGTAACATCTCTTCTTCTGTGTGTGTGTGTAACTGACTAATATCTCTTCTTTGATTACTGTATGTGTCTGACTAGTACTATCTCTTCTTCTCTGCTGTTTGCTGTATGTGTGTGTAATTAATCATTTTAATATCTCCTTCTCTGATTACTGTATGTGTCTGACTATTATCTCTTCTCTGTTGTTTACTCTAATTGTGGGTAATTAATAATATTAATCTCTCTTCTCTGTTTACTGTATATGTGGGCATTTAATAATATTAATATCTCTTCTTCTCTGTGTACTGTATGTGTGAGAGTGTGTGTAATGTATGTGCTTTCCTGCATAGTGATGGATCACACTGCCAAGGAAAACATAGCTTTCTTTTAGTGTGGGGGGAAAAATAACAAGAACAAATAAGAGGGTTTTGGGGGAAGAATAAGTTGAAAGAAATGGATTGGATAGGGATAAGTAGAAGTATTCTAAGCAAGGGTAATTAGTAAGCTGTATCCAATCCTTTCCAAGAACAGAAACTAGCAGGAAACTGACTAGGAAGCCAAGCCAGTCCAGCAGTACCTTTCAGATGCTGTTGCTCAGGCAGAAACAGATCACAAAAGGGACATAAAGGCTGCAGACAGAGGCTTATGTGCTGTTTCTACATCCTTCCCACAGAGCACTGTGATTGGAAGGGGAGTCAAGGAAAGATCACAGTCACTGGCCAGCTACAGATGTCAATCTTTCCGCCTGCTCCTCCTCCCTCTTCTCAGGTTCTGTTCCCCTGAAAGACTGCCTTCCAAATCTCTGAATCTTTTCTGAATTAATTTGGAGGCTCCAAATCAATTTGGAGGGTTTTTTTGGTCTGCCAATTAGATTCAGATTTGGTGATTCAGCCTCCGAATCGGGCCGAATCTTCTCTGAATTGAATTGGCAACCAAAGCTTCACACCACCCCTACCAAACACTATATATCCCATGCATACAGGCACATCCT